TAGTACAGAAGCTAAATACAGAGGTATGGCCTTAGGGATATGTGAAATTTTATGGGTTAAGCTTCTACTAAGGGATTTGGGTATAAAACATGATCAGCCTATGAACTTGTTTTGTGATAATAAAGCTGCCCGTGACATTGCACATAGTCCAGTACAGCACGATAGAACAAAGCATGTTGAAGTTGATCGGTTCTTCATCAAAGAGAAATTGGAAGGGAAGATAATTGAGGTACCGACAATAAGAACGGAAGATCAGTTGGCAGATATCCTCACAAAGGCTGTTTCAAGTCATAAGTTCTCAAGTTTCCTACACAAGTTGGGCATGTGTGACATATATGCACCAACTTGAGGGGGAGTATTGACTTTTTGTGTATATACCTGTAATTTTGGGATTCTTAGTTTAATATGATTTTATGTAAATTATTTCTTTCCTTATTGATATGATTGTAATAGCTTATAAACCCCTCCATGAGAGATCAATAAGATACACAATTATTCCAAAAGAGCATTCCCTTCTGAGGCCACCTAAGTAACACACGGTCAGGGGGCATTATTTACAGGACAAACCAAAACAAATCCCACACGACACTAATTCTCAAATACACGCATTCCATTTATTCATTAATTCAAAATGAACTATTACATTCCGCTCATAATGTGACCTAAAACATAAAAAAAAAAAAAAAACCATAAACATAGAACATAAAAAACCAGAAACAAAGTTGATTCTTCAGAAAAAAAGGAAACAAAAACCCAATGGGCATCAGTTCTACATGCATCGATGCAAAGTCTACAAGGTAGACTTCAATGTGTTTCCAATATCGATGACAAATCGATAACTGACATCTGCTTTAAGAAGACGCTCCATGGCAGTGTTCACATAATCCATTGGGATAACCTCAATATCAGCTGTTATGTTGTGCTTGGCTGCGAAATCAATCATCTCTTGCGTCTCCTTCATGCCCCCAATGGTACTGTCAGCTACAATTTTCCTTCCTGCAATTGCAAAATATACTCTTGTAAAGAAGTTGTCGCCAACGACATTACACAGTTTTAAAAGTAAATGCGTCATACCACAAATCCTCCATCCCTCAGTGGAAATATAATTTGTATTGAGGAAACAAAAAGTAAACATGTCAATGCATTATTTTACATGCATGCTTACCCACGAGCAAAAGATAAACAAGAAGCTCAAGAGGCTTCTCTGGTGCTCCAACCAGTGGCTGATCCATATAGGGACCAAGGTGGTCCTAGGACTACCTGGATGCTAGAAAAATGCCTATGAAGATCCTTTGAGGACCCTCCAAATATTACAATAGGGAGGACAGATTCACGCTTAGGACTATATGGGCTACGCCTAGGAAATTTATTTTGTTAAATGACATAGTTGTGGATGGACCGTGGTACAATCAAAATTCTGGTGCAGTGCATCCATGGAGGAGGTAGAGGAGTTGCAGCTTTCCCACGAGGAAGAAGGTTGAAACTCCTTTTTTTACTTCTTGTATCTGCTACATGGGCTTACCATTGCTACTAAAATATTACCTTTAAAAAGCACTTTCTCATCTACTATTCTATTTCTTATTATTTTATTTTTATTTTTTATAATCTCTATGTGTGTTTTTTTTTTTTTTGGTTAAATCTTTATTGGGTGAAATGGTTAAAGGCGCAGTTTTTTTATTGTGAATCCTATTTTATGTGCCAAGAATCTCGTATTTTGTAAATCACATCTAAAATATTTTTTTTCATAGAAATAAGATTTACTTGAATTGTATACTCTATCTCTACTAATACAATAATACTACATGATCTTAATAGGAACCATTACCTTTATTTCTATTTAACAAAAGAAAAACTTTTTTTTTTCTTTTTCCGTAAAATTGTGAAAAGTTATCAAACTATTTACAATTTTTTTTTTGAACAATTGATATTATCTACACTAAGAGGGAAGAGGTGGGTTTAGCCTCACAATGGGATAACAATAATATAGTTCAAATTTGCCTTTGGCGAGAATTAAACCTAAAACCTCTCACTTACAAGTGAAGAAGAACACCACTAGACCGTAGTACTAAGTGGCAAGTATTTACAAATTAGAAGAAGGGATTTTATTCATGATGACCTAGCTTTGTTTTTACCATGATTTATGAATGAAAAATATTATTATTTAGTTTTTGTAAGTTTATCATTTATTTCTTTTTTTGCACGGTTTACATTGGGTGGTTAGGAGCATCTATTCTAATGTGAGAATCCTAGATCCGCCACTGACTCAAACCATCACTAGCTTTCCGTGAGACTTCAACAAACCAATCAAAGGCAATAGAGGGTGGAGTGCAGAAATCGTGTCAATGATACCATCCAATGTCCCCACGGCAGCCTAAAAAATCCACACAAAAAAATAAAAACAAGAAAAAGTTCAGTCATCCCTGCACACTTCAAATCAACTTGAATCACTAAACAAACTTGTTTAAACTAATACTCATCGTACATGCATCTGATCTTCATTGCGGCTGACCAAAAACAAATTAGCGCAGAGATGTTCAATTGCTTTATCCTTCTTATTAGGGGAGGTACTGATGACACTAACCTTAACCCCATGGCCTAGACCACCTGAACCCACCACACCCACATACATACCTGGTTTGTCAAGTCCGAAATATCTCAAAGGGTTGTAAGTTGTAATCCCATCGCATATATAGGAGAGGAGCCGCTCCATGAAGGGGAAGGTTGTCTGGGATACGGACTACAAAGTGCTCATTGGCCACCATGATGTCAGATTAACCTCCATGTGGTGGTTCCATCGTAGTACTTGGAACCATAAGTAAGTATCGATTTAGGGCAGTAATTTTCAAGATTGTTGGAACAACTTTCACAAGATTTACATGATCCCACCATGCATCCAACACCTACCTTGTCTCCAACACTGAATTTTTGTACTTTGCTCCCTACCTGTCACTACACCAACAATCTCATGTCTGCATTGCCCAGTTCACATTCCATAAGTTAAATGGATACCAAAATCCAAATTCAGATACTATAAATATATGTGTTCGTTCTACAATGTACCATTTGACATTAGTACTTGTAGCATTTAAAATGCAAGTTTAGTATGTACCCGGGAACCAATGGATAGTTAGACGTTCCCCATTCGTTCTTGGCCATGTGAAGGTCTGAATGGCATACACTTTGAACATCACATCTTTGTCGCCGGTTCTCTGCAATAAAAAAACGCAATTTTCAGAGAACATATAAAAAGATTGATTAAACAAGAAGTTGATGAGGAAGTTTGGATTAATTTACCTTCTTGAGAATTTGAAGGGAGAGAAAACGCCAGATGAATCCCTGGCGGCCCAACCAAAGGCTTTCTTGGGGTGTTCTTGTTCTGTAGACATCACAAAATTTCCCTTGATTAATTCGTACGGGAGCTTTGGCTAGTAGAATGAGAGGGAGGGAGGGAGGGAGGGAAGGAGGGAGAGAGAGAGAGAGAGAGAGAGAGAGAGAGAGCGGGATTGCTAAATTTGGGGAGTGGTTAGGTGCTATTTATACGTATATGAGTGCTGGCTGGGATGACGTATTGGGTGAGCGAAATCAGTAGTCAAATGAGGGTCATCCCATTACGTAATTGCAGAGTCCGCCAGATCATCCCTCCAGCACTTCCACGTGGTTTTCCACTTACTCGATTAAGCAAGAAGCTTTTAGTTATGACGGAAACATGAATGATACATTACGTTTTTTTATGTAAGTGCTGAAAAAATTTAATTTTTAAGTTATTAACTTTTTAACATACATATCTCATAATTTATATAGGTACATGTGGTGTACCGTCTCGTGTGATAATCACATTAAAAAATCTCTCCGAATAAGCCTCATATTGGTTCCACAATTAATAACAATTTTTTTATTGGAGTGCATTAATATTTTTACAATAAGAAAAGTGAGAATTTCACTAAACCACATAACGAGTAGCTGAACTGAATTCGCATTCGAACTTAAAACCTCTCTTTCAAGTTCAAAGGAATACTACTAGACCATAGTACTGAATGACATAATTAATAACAATTATAGGTGACATTTCTCTCTCTTCCTCACCCTCTCTATTCCTCGGGATGAATGTAAAGTCCGTAAAAACAGACAATTATAGGAGAGAGGAGGAAATAAAGCTCTGCAATTGAAAAAAAAAATATTACCTCCTTCTTCTTTAACTTGTAACCAAAAAATATATTCACTTTAACGTATTCCGGTAGCAAAACCCATCACAGAACTAGCAAATTTGGGAGAGACAGACCTGCTCTCAAATCGTGAGTTCGCTGCCCGAGAAATTTTCCATTTCACAACCCAAATCTTGGTTGGCAAATTATATTATATATATACTAAAAGAGAAAATGAACTGAAACATTGATCATAAGCAAGTTGTTTTCCGTTTTTACCCCCACTTAGTTTCTTTTATTTCAACTTTGCCCCTATTGCTTTGTTGTCAAACGGAGAACAAAATGGGACGCGTGGGTTTTCGCTGCTTCTTCACTCTCTCATCGACTCAGTGTTCATCCTTTCCACCACTTCAATCTTGTTCTCACGGTTGCATTCCTTTTTAATTTTCTTCTCTCACGGTTTCGTTGCTTTCTTTCCACCACTTCAATCTTCCTTCAACTGGTTGCAGGCTCCATCAAACCCTAGAAATCGTTTTGCTTTATTGGGCACCCTCCTTTTTCTCCCTGCTCCTTGCTTTCCCCAACCTAGAATCCTCCTCCTTTCCCCGAAAGACAAATCTTAAATCCACAACCCAAAACTCAGTCATAGTTGCCCAACGAAGGTAGATTAATTGAAGAAAGATTGCTCCATTAGAGCGGGTAAGATGGCTGGATGAGTATAATCCATTTAACTTGGTAGAGGTAAATTGTAGTAAAGTAGGTTACCCTCTTCATCTCTTCAAATAAATTTGATTATCTATCAATTTCCCTAAAATTATTTTTGGTTTCATGTGTGTGTTTGTTTTTATTTTATTTTTATAAATTTACAGGGTGATCTACGATCACGCGAGCTTGGTGAAGGCGATTGAGCAAGTCGACGGTAATCCACAATATTCCTTACCATTTTTACTATTTTAGATTATGGGTTCTGTTTGGGAATCAAATGTATGGTTTGTGTTGGTGCATCAATCTCACTGATTACAGTCAGTTGCAGATGAAGCAGCTAGCTAGCTTTCACCAGAAAACAAAACAGGGTAGCATTCACCTTTTTCTCCATCTTTCCAAGCTAATTAATTATACTATAGATTACAGAGTAAAAGTCCTCAATTTATAATTTCAGGTTTCATATAATAGATATATATACAACTCTTAACAAATGGATTAGTTCTTTATATCTGATCAGCAGGATTTGAAGTCCTCGGATAGTCATGTCCAACTGGATCGATCTGCACTCATATGTTAATTTGAGTATGTGCTCCTGAATGATGATAGATTAATTATTGTCATTTAGTTGGTTTGATCTTGCCCTCAGTCTATATGTTTTGGACGTCAAGAAAGCATGATGTTTTATGCGAAAAAAATACTTTAAACATTCTCAAAAACTTGATTATTGTGAAACTACACACACCAAAACCATATCATCTATGTAATGAATAGAGCAAATTTTTAAGAAAACAAATTGAGTATGTTATGAATAGTATTTTATATTCAATAAAGACACTAGTCCTATAGGACATTGACTGTTTGCTTTTAGTAGTCCTTGAAGTTATAGCTTGCTGATTCGTTCTGCTATTTTATTTATTGTGTAATTATTATCATTTTAGAACTTAGCTGTTTCATGCTTTCTGCTTATTTCATGCTCAATTTCATCCTCAATTTCTCTGTTTCATTCTTTATGCTTATTATCATTTTAGATGTCTGCATTTATAAATAATGTATACCACACTCTAATTTTAAAGGGGATCAAGAAAATAAAACAAGCGCCCTGGACGACTGACATCTAATGCCATGTAAATTTACTTGCAGTTTTGTAGCGGAATGAAGATAGATCCTATCCGAAGTTTATTACCTTTTCAATTTAATAAGAAGATCAGAGTCCGTGTATGCAGAATTTGGAGACCTAAGGTTATAGGAAAACATAATACGTTTGGCGGTCTTCAATGTATATTGATTGACGAAATGGTAAGAATTTTGTTTTTTTAGGTTTTCAGTTTTAAATGGTGGTTATATCATTTTATTAGTACATGCTAAAGTTACAGGTTTTGTTAATGTTGATGACAGAAATCAATCCCAGTTCAGAATGAAAAGATATGGTTGTTTTCGTTGTTGTAAGAACTGAAAACTCAGTATTCTTTCTCTAAGTTTCCCATTTTTAAAATTCAGAAACATGATTAGTTTTTTATACCTATTTTGTGACGATTCACTAAGAATTGTTAATTGTTTTAATACATATGAGATAGGATTTCTAAATGGGTAATTCTCTGGTTTGAATGTTATGTGCTTGGGAGTGTAAATTTGGATTTATAAATGGGTTTTTTGTTCAAATTTTTTGGTTGTGATTTTGGGGATTTTGTTTGTAGCTTCGGATTCTAGCTGATGATGGTTAATTTGGTTTTGTTTTCGGTTTCAGGAGATCGGGTTTTTCGAATTTGTGACTTTTCTTTGAAGCCTGTGAATACCTCTATGTTTTAGGTGGGTGATTTTGAAATTCCACGAGTTTGATTCAACTTGCAGATTGAGGTGTGATTTTATTTTGTTGTTAAGTATTTTTGGATTAAAACTAAGAGCGTTGATTTAAGTTTGTAGTTTTGAAATTTAGTTTCAAGGGTGTTCAAATTCAGGACAAGAAAAATTGTAATGATCCCCAAGAACATAGGAAGTAAAATATTTTGATGATTAGCTTTTGAAATTTCATTTTTCCCAAATCGATATCGACATGGGTATAATATATAAGCCTTCCTCATATAGATATATCTTCATTTAATGCACTTGGATGCTTTAATTTTTTATGATCAATAGTTTTGGCTGAACAATTTATATGTGCAGAGTAATGAAATTTATCATTGGTATCAGTGACATTCAAACACATCTATCTAATGAATGACTGAAAGGATGGATATAATTTGAATTTTCTTTATCACTGTGATAAGCTAGGCTTAAGCGTTCAACTGGGTTCCTTTGCGGCTGGACTAATTATATCAAGTACTGATCTCATATGGTCAAGAAATATATAAGTTGTCATTATACTCGAGAGAAATTAAGTACATGGACAACGTCATTCGTCCTCTTTGTTTTTTTATTTATTTATTTTTAATTTATTTCCCCCCTCAATTTTTCTGCCAAGCTATTTCATTTGGTCTTTTATTTTCCTACAGGTTTTCATTTGAAAGGAAAGTATTGCATTCTTATGAATTCTACGTCGCTGCTCAGGTTTATAATATTTTTTTTCTTTCCTTGCTCAGGCATTATTTTCTTTTTGCTGCATATTGATATTGAGTTCTGTTTGGAAATGCCTCTGTTTTTTTTTTTTGTTCACTTGCTGAAAATGTCTCTATCAAAATTTTAATGGCCTTTTCTTTGTTTCTTCTTATCTTCCTCATTCTTTGTCCAATTATAAATTAGTTTTACATTTTTGTTGCTATAAAGAGCTTTCCTTTGTCCAATTATGCCTAACACAACTCTTTCTAATTTAAATGGACTTTTTTTGTTACACATTGTATCTGATAGAGCAAATGAAAAAAGAGCAAAAACCGGATTTTATATGCTCCCTCACTATCATAAGAAAACTGTCTTAGCTTTTGGTTATGTGTCCCCCATTTGTTTACTTATATGTTCTACTGTTTTGAGTTAAATTTAACATACCATCCACACTAAGAGCTCCATACAGAGAAAATCCATAAGAGAAAATTGCAAAATCCATTTTTTCTAGAATAGCAAATTCCATTTCCAGCTTACTTTATGTATTATTCTACATATGTATGAGTACAACATTGTACATCAATGTCTTCTCTATTTTAACTTTACATGTTACTCATTTGTATATTGTTGCTCTCAGACTTCATATAATCCTCATTCGCTTTTTAACACTCTAATGTTGCATTGTTTGCACAGGATTCCTTTATATATGGTTTCTTTGTGCAATTAATCACAGCAGATTATTACATCTTCGTCATAACGATACCTTCTTTACTATTTTAATTTCTACTTACACGTTTGTTTTTTGACTGTTTTTTTTTTTGCTATAGTGATTTATTTGAACTCCCCGACTCTGTCTAATTAGTATCACTGACATATATTTGATATAGGACTGAAGTGCGAAAAATGTGTTGGTTTGAATATACTCATTTTAGTCTTTTTGCATCTGATAGAGCAGATGAAAATAGAGGAAAACAAAAATCTCAGTTGCACCTTCAGGATCACAAATTAACTCTATCTCAGTTTTACTTATATGTCCCCCTTTTTTTTTCTTATATGTACGAGACTAACAACTCCTTTTTAGTTTTTTTCAAAGTTTGTAGGAACTAGTTGAAACCTTAAACCTCAACATAATGAAGATGAAGATGAGCCGGAAACAGTGAAGTAGGAAAATCTAGATTCAATAACATGGTCTATCTAAGTATTTTGAATAATGAGCAGTTTAATGCTGTTAATCTTTTGATCGTGGTAATATGTTGTTAATTTACTTTCTCAAACAATAGACATGTAAATATTGATATATAAAACTTATTTTATGTTAAACATTATTTTGTTAAACGGTGTTTTTAAAACCCGCAGCAAAGCGAGGGTGTTTATGCTTGTGGATACTAATTGGCACAAAGATTAATGCATGCATCAAGATGAAGATGCCTAGTTAAGATGGGATACCAAGATGAAATCAATAGGGAATATCATCTACGTGTGCTTGGAGTCGGTCAACAATGCATGCAATATCTTTTGGTCATGATGTGATAAGCCTAGATAGGTATTTACGAGAACTTTAACGAAAAACTCACAGTAATGTTCACTTTAACGAAAAATCACATTTTTACACTAGAAAATCAATTCTAGCACTATTCACTTTACCCTTTATTTTGTTCTTATTGTTAAAACTCAAAGTTTTCAAGCCATTTTCATTAGTTTCCCTTTTTATTTTGTTTGAAAGTTGCAGATAGCCATCTGAAAGATAGGCTTTAGCCTATGTCACGAATCAATCTTCATTCTGCGAGTTTAAGTTTCACTTGGACTCTATGAAATTATTAGGCTGCGCCAAGTAGAAAATAATGCTATAAATACTGGGGTCGGTCTTGAGATTTTTTAAACCCAAAGCACTGTAAAAAAATCTACCTTAAATTTTGAGGGTGTCTTCAATTTGAATTTCATAAGATTTTAAATGAGTGTTTTAAGTGATAGATTTCAAAGGATTTTAATGGACTTTCTAATTTTGTATGGATTTTGGAAGATTTATATGGATTTATATTATAGATTTTTATGAATTTGTATGGACTTCTTTCATGTATTTATTAAGATTTTTATTTGACTCTTACAAACCCCTACAATATATTTTTACCTTCCTCATTTGAATTATGATTTTTTTGTGAAATTTTTAACAAACCAAAACATAGATCATTGATGGTTTGAGATGACATCTAGATCAAGCTAAATTCCAATTAGTCGAACCTAATCCAAGCTTACAAAATTAAATCTTTGCTCTAGTAGCTAACAACTCCAAGTACAAGACAAAAATACTACTGAATCCTAAAGCTTATATCTTTTTGTTGTTGTAGATTTCAAAACTGAAAAACTTGCAACCGAATTCACCATTTTTCACTTCAACTCCAAAGTTACTCAAAACCCCAACATCCCATACTCCAATCCCTCAAACCCCTCCATTTTCCCACAGTTTTCGACATTTTCTAGGCTATCAATCATAGTTAAACACACAACTAAACAAAAAGCGACAAGAAAAGGTAGAGAAGTAATATGCACATAGCAGAATAGGGTATGGGGATTTTGTGGGGATTGAATTTGTGGTGAGATTTTGGATTGGGTGGATATATTTTTAAGAAATAAAGGAACTTTATATGTCGTCTTCTTTTCTTGAGAGAAGGTTCGTCTTCTTCTTCAAAGAGAAGAAAAGAAATCCTAGGGGTGGAGGTTGGAATGTTTAAGGTGTTTGATATTTACACCACTCACTCTCAAAGCCATCAAAATCCCTAGTTCATTAAAACACCTAGCAAATCTTTGATATTTTCACTACACCTGGATTTTTATGGACTTTTAAAAATCCTAATTAACTACCCATGAATTTGGATGTATTTTTTATTTATTTAGAAAGTATGATATTCATTCATTCAAAGAAAGGAATACACATAAGTTCCGAGGATAGGGTGCACAACAGTGGGGCTCGATAAAAATCTTGCCGGAGATTTCAACCCGGTCGAAAGGAAAAAGAGCGTCCCGCACCAAAAAAATTAAGTAGAGTTACTATCCTCGACTAAAAGGTCACTAATTACATCAGAGTTCCTCAAACCATAAAACTGGTTGAGGCAAAGATAAACCACATCGCACCAGCCGATGAGCCACCTTGTTAAGCAACGTGAGAACTCTTAGTCCGACGGAAGGCTCGAAGAAAATGATTAGCATCATTTATCACATTCCCCAAAGGAGAAGAGTCTGAAGCCTCCTCCATATTCAATGCCGCAATAACCAAAGTTGCATCCTCTTCAAAGTCAATCATATTGATTTCCCACTTCTAAGCAAACAACACCGCAGCCCTTGCTGCGTCCGTCTTGGCGTGAAGGGGTGAGCTGACTCCAACAATTTGCAAAGCCATTGCCGCCACTAACTTACCCAAATGATCTCGAACAACCACTCCCACACCCCCGAACCCTCCATTTTCCATCCACGCCCCGTCAAAATTACATTTAAGCCAACTATCCCCCTGTTTCTTCCACTTTTCCACCTCATGAATGTTCGTGGATTTGTTCTTCCCATGCCATTTTTTAAACTACTGGAGCCAAGCCGTTGTCCAATACTGAATTTCCATAGGTGGCGTGATCTTCCCATTCCACAAAAATGCATTTCTTTCATTCCAAATACTCCATACAGTCATTAGTAATTGTTAAATGCACTGCACAAATCAAGAACAAGGAACAAAATTACCAAACAGGTTGAAGAACCAACAGAAGCACAAAAGTATCTTGGGTTGAGTCGCGGACAATGTCGCTCTCTTTAAGACGTTTCGCAGCTCTGCCCAAGGTGTACAAGCAGTCACAATCGCCACGCCGTCCCCAGGATAAAACAGCCTAGTATCACTACTAACTAGACCTTTCTTGCAATGAGAAAGATCTCAAGCTTTCACTCACTATCTTACTCAATGTTCTCTGAAATACTGTTTTTGTTTTTTGTTATCAGTGTGTCTATTTTCTCAGAACTAGAACCCTAGTTTTATACTACTTTAGAAATACTAACGTTGAAATGGTTGAGAAGAAAGTGCCATTCAAAACCGGCCACAAAATCAGGAAGCCTTATCAGATGGTTTAGATAAAACATGTATTCAAAGTAAATCTTTCTGTTGGGAAGGATTCTCCACAAAACTAGGAAACCAACGTAAACCCTAATTGACTAATTCCACGTTCCAAGTTTTTAAATAAACATGCAAACCCTAACAATCCCCCACTTGGTTATTTAAACTCAAACATTGAGTAAGTGAAAATAGAGTTGTGCATCAGTGTTGGTGTTTTATCAACTTGAACCAAAACATAGCGACAGTGCTTCAGAATAACATGAGTAACCCATAGTCTTGAACTCAATCTCTGACAACAAAGCACACACAATTCCTCTTGAGTGAAGCTCAAAGCCAGCACATTTTGACCATGTGCATGTATCCCAGTATAGCGATAGTGCTAGAAGTCAGCCCTAGAAACTTCTTAGTAGGCGGCCTCACCTTCACTATCACAAAGGTGAAACTATTAAGGATACTCTTATAGCTTGATATCCTACTCATTTAGAGTATAATTTTCATTAAGAGTTTCACAACTCAACCTTTTCATACGTTACAAGATTTCATGCCCTCTGCAAACAGTTCTATAAATTGAAAACATGTGTAGGGCATAATTCCATATCACTTCGTGACTTGTTGTTACATGTTGAACCATTTTCTTGGGATCTCCAGTCAAATGGTTAGGTTACCATCACAAGTGACTCATCATATCAAGGTTTTAACCCCATTCCACTAGAGGTTTTCCACACTTTTTCTCTTGCTAATCCTTTCATCAAAGGGTCAGCAAGATTATCTTCAGATCTAATATGATCTATTCTGACAGTCCCCGTGGAAAGAAACCCCACAATCGTGTTGTGTTTCCGACGAATCTGTCTTCTCTTTCCATTATAATATCGATTTGTTACTTTGGCGATGGCTGCTGTGCTATCATAATGAATAAGCATAGCAGGAATTGGTTTCTCCCACAATGGAATGTCAGATAGAAGGTCTCTCAACCATCCTGCTTCTTTACTAGCTGTTGCTAAGGCAATCATCTCAGACTCCAAAGTTGGTTGTGCAAGTATGGTCTGTTTTTTAGATTTCCAGAGACTGCAGCTCCAGCTATATTAAAAATATAACCACTCGTAGCTTTAGAATCTTCTGAGAGTGTATTCCAATCGGCATCACTGTATCCTTCAAGAACAGCGGGAAACTTCCCATAACATAGACCGAAATTGATTGTCCTCTTAAGGTATCTTATTACCCTTTCAATTGCATACCAGTGTTCCATACTAGGATTACTGGTGTATCTACACAGAACCCTAACTGCATAGGCTAAATCTGGCCTAGTACAATCGGTAGTGTATCGAAGGCTACCAATGATGCTTGCATACTCAACCTGCCTAACACTTTCACCACTATTTTTGAATAACTTAACACTTGGATCATAAAGGGTACAAGCAGGTTTACAATCAAAATATTTGTACTTCTTTAGAACTTGTTCTAAGTAATGTGACTGACTTAGAGAAAAACCATTCTCAACTTTAATAACTTTTATTCCGAGGATTAAGTTTGCCTCTCATAGGTCCTTCATGTCAAAGTTATTACTAAGCAAGGTTTTAACTTCGTTTACTAGGTGAACATTTGATCCAAAGATAAGCATATCATCAACATATAAGCATATTACGATACACAGACTGTTCTTAGTTTTAATATACATGCATTTATCACTTTCATTTACTTTGAAGCCATTATCAAGAAGTAAACAATCAAATTTAGCATGCCATTGTTTAGGTGCTTGTTTCAGGCCATAAAGTAATTTAGTTAATTTACAAACTTTATGTTCTTGTCCAGGTACTACAAAACCATCAGGTTGATCCATGTAAATTTCTTCCTCTAATTCTCCATTTAAAAAGGCAGTTTTAACGTCCATTTGATGCACAACAAGATTGTAAAGAGAAGCTAATGCAAACATTACTCTAATGGAAGTAATTCTGGAAACAGGAGAGTAAGTGTCAAAGAAGTCGACATTTTCTCTTTGTCTAAAACCTTTGGCTACTAACCTGGCTTTAAACTTATCTATCGAGCCATCAGATTTAAGCTTCTTCCTCAACACCCATTTACAACCAATAGCTTTGCATCCTGGAGGTAGCTCTACCAAGTGCCAGGTTCTATTTGCTTCCAGTGAATCTATCTCATCATTTATGGCTTCTTGCCATGAATCTGCGTCCACAGAAGACAAAGCTTCTTGAATTGTTGAGGGAACTTCTTCCAGTGC